AAAATGATCTTTATGGTGATATAATAATAGTCAATAGTTTCTAGCATAACCTAAATCATACACTCCTGTGATGCCACAATGGGCTAAATATTAGAAAAGTAGTTTGTAGAAATTGGCCATTGTGTCAACTAACTATTAAATTCAAAATTTGGCATTTGAGGACATCGAGTAAATGATTGGGAGTCCAATCCAATAAGCATGAGTAGATGACCTAATTAGTTTAATGCAAATTATAGGCCCTAGATTCTCTTCCTCTCATTCTTTCAAGTGATTTGATTAAAAGAAAACAGAAACTCGATCTGAAAATATGTTATTGCTAAAAAAATGTGTGGTATTTTAAATCAAGACTAGCACAAAAATGATGAAGGGAGAATAGAAACCATCACAACTTTTAATTTAAACTAAAAATCATTTTATACATCAGGTGAAAGCAACCAAAAGATGGTTAATTGTTTGCTAACTTGATAGGAATGTTCATTCAAACCCCCTGTGACATGAAGATATTTGCAAAGATGAAAACATACAAACATTGTAGCCCAAGTCATCAGATTTCCATAGCATCTCAGACAAAAAAAAGTACAAATTTCAAACATGAGAATCTACGAATGAACCTCTTAAGTCTATTTTCTAAACAGATCATCTTCCAAAATAGATCAAACAGCACAGATACAACAGTCCAATAGAATATAATACTAAAGCCTGCAGAACTGCAGCAACAGAACCTATCCAAAAAAAAAAAATTCATCTGCAGCAACAGAACCTATCCAAAAAAAAATCACTAGCTTACCGTGTGTACATTTTTGAAGTCAATTCCCCTCACCACTCCAAATTCTGAGTCCAACTTTTGCTTGGCATGCTTTTTTGATTTTCTTGTCTCAGCAAGACTTCCCTCATTGGTTTTTTCCTTCTCTTTTGTTTCTCTATCATCCGTTGCAATCAAATAATCAAAAAGCCCAGCATTGAATTCCTGAAAACAAGCAGCATAGGAGGTTAAATGAGCTACTTTAAAAAAAAAAAACCAAAATTTTGGTCATAAAACCCATGGAACCTTCAAACCTCAAACCATCATTCAACCTTGGCTTACTATTTGTGTTTTAAATTTTCAGAAATTGTGAACCTAACATACCTCTAGGATATGGAGACGAGAATTCTGCGGCAACTCAGCATTTAAAACAGCAGACTTTATTCCAAACTGTGGAAAAATAACCAAGGACATCAATGATGGGATGAAGCTACTAAACCAAGAGGATTACAAGAAGTAACACAACTACATTAGAACAGCATGTGTAGATTAATAGTTCTACCCAATGAGAATAGTAGTGAAAATAAAAACAAGTAATAAACAAAATTCGATGCCTAGCCTTCATTTGTCTATCTACAACATAAGGCAAATCAGCACCTTTCAGTCACAGCAATCTTGAAACCCAACCACATAAATACAAATTTCAATTAATTTTGAAGTAGAGCTTCCAATCACCGATGCATGTCATATTGAGACACAGATCCAATATTGGTGAAGATAAAGATTGCAGAGGATTAGTTATATAATATTGCAAAAATGGTAACAGAGATGCAATTAAGAATACACAATCAAAGATAAATGAGATTGCATTTCATCCTACTAAATTAGCCAAAATCAACAGCAAATTACATCTCGATTATTTTTTATGTAGAGCTTCCAATTACTGATGCACTTCTAATATTGAGACACAGGTCCAAAATTGATAAAGAAAGAGATTGTACAGAGTTGGTAATATAATATTGCAAAAAAAGGTAGACTATATCCCAGGTCAAAGCTTTTTGACTGCACAGAGTCCAACATTTCACATCATAGGTGCAACACCTCACCCATACAATATCCAATATCTCAACAAAGAGACAAGTTCCTATGTGTCAGCAGCAATTATTTTCAAAATCAAAGATGAATTAAAATAATTCAATGGATGCCCAGTAAAGTAGTCAGCAACTGAGAATACCTTCTCTAGAAACAATTTCAATCTGAAACTCATATCAATGGCATTAGTAAATATCAAAACTTTTTTCTGAACCAGATCCAGCTTCAGAAGAGCAAGAATATGAACTAACTTGTCACGATCGCCACATGAAACCTGAAAAAGATATGAAAGAGTTGTAAAGCTCATCGACACCCTTGTTCAACCATATATTACGAGGCTCAGATGATTGATATAGATAAGAAATGCTAAAAGTCCATAAGACAAACCATAGGAATCATAACCAGAAGTTTTGCTTTGACAGATTCTGATATCTACAAGATGACAGTGATGTCAATGCGATACCTGACAAGATACGTGTGACTACATGTGCTCCACCATTACCCAGGTTTTGGACCTAAACTGAAAAGCTTGGTGGCAAATGTGATATATATTAAGAGAGGAAACACAGCAGGTTTCTGCGCCAGTGGCTGAATGCTGAGAACTAAGGGTCGTTTAATAGGTGGAGAAAGCATTTAATATACGGGGAATGTTGGGGTTTATGCTGATGACAAGATGATCAAGGGCTGGTTATAATGAGAGCTGGAAGGAACTTGTTTGAATCTTAAAAAGCCCCCTCTTCCCCTCCCCCCTCCCTCAATAAAACCTTGTGCGATTGTAGAATTCCATAGTTGAATGGGGAGCGTTAGTTTATGCTTTGCTTTCAATTCATTACTGGAGGCAAGCCAGTGGTAGTGTGTATATTTTTTATTCTCTTTACATTCCAATCTTCTTTTAGCTGGTTCCCACGGATTAAAGAGGGATTTCAGTTTAAGGCCAATTATGTTATTGTCAGTCTCCAAGCCAAATATAACCAAAGTTCCATCTGGAGCTGCCTAACAAGGAACAAAAACTCCAGCTGAAAGTTGTTTTTATCTTATAGATGCTTCAGTCTCCCAAAAAATAAAATAAATAAGGGTGCGGGTGCAAAATAATTCACAAAAAATATACATGGGTCACATCAGGGGAAAAAAAAAAACTCAAACAGAGAAATCACTTCTCATATCCTCCAGAAAAGGCTATAGAATTCCTTACCCAAAATTGCTGAACATTTTTGGGGATAACTTCATCCTTAACACCTTCAACTTCTGGCAAGGTCAAAACATATGGATTATGCAGAATGAGCTTCTTCAGTTTGTCGACATCAGCACTGAAACAACAGATGCCAAAATAGCATGCATGACATCTCTCAATCGAAAAGTGAGGAGCATAAAGACTTCATTTCATTAATATGAACTTCTATTGGGTAACAAAAATTAAAGGAAGAAAGTTTTGAGACTTGCTAAAGTATAAATCGAAGGTAACGACAAAACATAAGTAAAAGGAGGGAGGGAGAGTGCCATAATCAACACACCTTGATGTTGCAGACATAAGAAGGCATTGACAACGTCTTGGGACAAGAGCAGTAAGAGCTTTGAGATCTTCTTCATAGCCAAATGACAACAAGAGATCTGCCTGAAAAGAAATAGATATTAATGAATCATTCAAGGAAAGATATAGCAGATGTCTTTTTTAAGAAATAGATAACTTAGTATCTGAAGGTCCATCCATAAGAAGGTAGAAGAAACCGTAGAAATCTAAATTGCACACACATAGCAAATGTACTCGATCAATATCAATAGACATAACACTGTCATTTTCATCAAAATCCCATTATTTTAACAATTGCAATCTACTTGAATTCAGACAATCTATTATCATCAGAAATCCCAACTTCCATCTATCATGAATGAATTACAATGATAAGCATCATCACAAACACCATGTTCTCACCTCATCAAGAACAAGAATTTCAAGTGAGTCATTAATAGATTCCGATTTTAGTACACCAACTGACAAGGACTTGGCTACACAAGAAGGAGTAGATACCAAAATATCAGGCGGTCCAGCCAAAGCGTTCCGCTGCAAGCAAGCAAGCTAGCAGTCAACCAATTATGCTGAATATCACTAAAAATTAAACATGTAACCTTTTAATTAACCAACCAAATCAGAAGCAGGCATGTTGCTGGTCAAATGAACAACTTTCAATTGAACTTTACAGGAATCAATCAGCGACGAAACCTCCTTATAAACCTGTTGACATAACTCTCCACTCGGCACCAGAATAAATGCTAAAGGTGAAAGCTTTTTTCGATTCGAATCAGCCGTACCGAGAAGCTTCTGAAGCAAAGGAAGCAAGTAGGCTAATGTCTTCCCTGACCCTGTTTTCGCCCGGGCAACCACGTCTTTCCCTTGCTAATGATATTCAAAACAATTAATTACAAAAATGAATGAATGAATAAATAAATAAATAAGTTAAAAGAAAAAAAAACTGACAAGTATTAGAGGAATAGCGACTCGCTGAATTGGAGTGGGCTCCGTAATGCTAATTTCTTTCTTGTTTAGGGCTCGAATTAGCCTAGGGTCTAACCCTAACTCTTCAAAGGTCCGTGCTTCTTCGTCTTCTTCTTCTACTACATCCGGTTCCTCGTTTAATTGTATTTCTTGGTTGTCTTTGTTCTCTTTTTCCTTTTTCTCTTTAGTTTTACCGGCCTTCACCATTTTTAAGTTTACGCAGCCAGAGATAGAGGGAGGGAATATTAGGGTTTTTGAGGAGGAAGAAGAGGAGAAGGGTTTTAGACTTGTGGGTCGGGTTTTATTCAATTGATCTAAGACCCGTTTTTAATAAACATCAAAACTGACCCTTTTAAGGGTCCAATTTCATTCAAATATAGTGTGTTTGTTTTTTCGGTTTGACTTGTTATTTAAATTATGTTTTTTTAAAAAAAAAAACTTTAAATTATTTATTATGTTATTTTTTTTGGATAATTTTGATTTTTTTATTTTAAAAATAAAAAATAAAAAATATTTTAATATATTTTTAATTAAAATAAAATAATATCATAAAGATATCATGTATTATATTACTAAATATATATGAAACAAGTTGTATTTATTTTTAAAAAAAAAAAACTAGTGTAGTTATTATCCCAATCCAACCATAGTTTGGTAATTTAAACTAGCCTCATATTAAAAAAATAAAAAAACCATCAGATTTTCACCGAATTTAACCTAAATTATGAATTAATATAAGTTTTTAACCATACTACATTATATCAAATATCTTTTTTATTTTTTATTGGGGTTTAGACTTGTGGGTCGGGTTTTATTTAATTGAACTAAGACCCTTTTAAGGGTCCAATTTCATTCAAATATAGTGTTTTTGTTTTCTCGGTTTGACTTGTTATTTAAATTATGTTTTTTTTAAAACAATTTTAAATTATTTCTTATGTTATATTTTTAGAATAATTTTGATGTTTTGATTTTCAAAATAAAAATATAATTATTTTAATATATTTTCAACTAAAAAATAATATTATAAAGATATCATATATTATATTATATTATTAAATATATATGAAACAAGTTTTATTTTTGAAAAAAAAGTGTAGTTATTTTCCCAATCTAACCACAGTTTGATAATTTAAATTAGCCTTGTATTTTAAAAAATATTATTTAAAAAAATAAAAAAAATAACAGATTTTTACCAAATTTAACCTAAGTTATGAATTAATATAAGTTTTTAACCATATTACATTATATCAAATATCTTTTTTATTTTTTATAAAACCCGGACCAAGTAAAATATTAAAATGACTGTTCCTAAATCAATTTATTAGGCCGGTTTAATAACTAAGCATAACTTCCAAGAATATATAAACGTGCAGTCAAAGGTTTTTATTAAAAAAAAAAAACAATAACCCGACATTCTAACCGGGTAGGGATTGTAACAATGGGCCCACATCCAATCTAAACTGTCCTTCTGGGAGGCCCAGCCCACATATTTCCTTTTTCATTCTTATAGTGAAACGACAGAGCACGAGAAACAATTGGAAACGATGGAAGCGCGCAATACAAAACGACGACGGATGGTTGTTATCCAGTAGTAGCAGTATCAGTATCAGTTGAAAGAGAAGGTGGAAGAAGAGGAAGAGGAGGAGGAGAGGAAACATTGAAAGAAAAAAGAGGAGGAGGAGGAGAGGAAACATTGAAAGAAGAAAAGCTCGGCTTCAAAAAAGGAATGGAGCTAGTAGCTTTAAACCTCTCAACAAAAATTCCAAGACAAAAACCAGCCTTCCTCTCTACAACATCAAAGAGTCTTCTCTTTCGCAATTATCATTACCAGTTACGGAAAAGAACAAGTAATCAATTTCGATTTCAAGCCAGGAATAAACAGCAACAACAATTCTTGATTAGTCAAATAGATTCGGAAAGTGAGCTGGAATTCGACAGCGATGAAGATGAAGACGAGATGTCGTCTGGTTTGTTATCATTAAGCGTGAAACCAGACAGGAACATGGCTTTGCTTGACGATTACGAGATTGAAGAACTTGCCTTTCATGATTCCTCCAATTCTAATCATCGTAGCGGTCAGTCAGTTACTGAATTTCTTTTTTTATTATTATTAAAATAAAACAAAATTTAGGTAAAAGGATGGAAGGATTGTGGTGATGTAGGGTACGTGGCAGTGGTAGGGAAACCGAATGTAGGAAAGAGCACGCTTTCGAATCAAATGATAGGACAAAAGTTGTCGATTGTTACTGATAAACCTCAGACTACTAGACATCGCATTCTTGGTATTTGTTCCGCTCCAGATTACCAGGTTTCCTATTTTTCTTTTTCTTTTTCTTTTTCTTTTTCTTTTTCTATTTTTGGGTGTCTGTGTTTTGTATCGTGTTATTTGGTTGTGTAATGTTGAATAATTGCGGAACCATTGTCAGAAAATTGAAACCCAGAATTCCCAAAGCTGTTTGAGTTAATTTCCTTTTACAGAGTGGGGCATTAGAGTAGAAAGTTGTGATTTTTAGATTTTAAATATGATTTTATTCTTCGCTGTGTCTTACTTCGTTCTACAACTATTGCCTGTTGGATTTGGTTGTTTGTTGTGTTTTGCACGATATGATGACAATTTTGCCTGCAGGACAAGTAAAATCATCTTTCATGAATTGATTCTGAGTGTTGAACAATTTTTCCTAGGGTAATCTAGTTATTGTAGAGTGTTGCGTTGGTTAATGCCTTTTAGCTTGTGCATGTTGTAATGAGAAGCTTGCGTTCCTCCTTGTGGGAAGACGTGTTGAATGGTCTTTAGATATGTAGGAAAACGATTTGTAAGAAAACCAGAACCATTGAAAGAAAATTTGAAATCTCTAGGCTAAGCATTTGAATGACTGAGTTGTTTTAGATATGAGCTAATCATATTTTTCTTATAAATTGTAAGTAATATTGTAATGATGCTTTTTTAACTGTTTAGGTTACCGCTTTAGACAAAGAAAAATTGATGATACTTAAATATATGATTGCTTAGTTGCTCAATGCGGATCACCTGACTGAAAGGTTTTCTTGCAGATGATACTTTATGATACACCAGGTGTTATCGAGAAGAAAATGCACAAGTTGGATTCTATGATGATGAAGAATGTTAGGAGTGCTGCCATCAATGCTGACTGCGTACTAGTTATTGTTGATGCATGCAGAGCGCCTGAAAAGGTATGCTAATTGTTTGTGCAATTATTTGCAGTTCTTTCTTTCTACTTTTCTTCTAAATTCCATTTCTTGATTAGATTGATGAAATGCTGGAAGAAGGTGTGGGAAACCTCAAAGACAATGTGCCCACTTTTTTTGATGTAGAGCTTCCAATCACCGATGCATGTCATATTGAGACACAAATCCAATATTGGTAAAGATAAAGATTGCAGAGGATTGGTTAGATAATATTGAAAAAATGGTAACAGACATGCAATTAAGAATACACAATCAAAGATAAATGAGATTGCATTTCATCCTACTAAATTAGCCAAAATCAACAGCAAATTACATATCAATTATTTTTTATGTAGAGCTTCCAATTACTGATGCACTTCTAATATTGAGACACAGGTCCAAAATTGATAAAGAAAGAGATTGTACAGAGTTGGTAATATAATATTGCAAAAAAAGGTAGACTATATCCCAGGTCAAAGCTTTTTGACTGCACAGAGTCCAACATTTCACATCATAGGTGCAACACCTCACCCATACAATATCCAATATCTCAACAAAGAGACAAGTTCCTATGTGTCAGCAGCAATTATTTTCAAAATCAAAGATGAATTAAAATAATTCAATGGATGCCCAGTAAAGTAGTCAGCAACTGAGAATACCTTCTCTAGAAACAATTTCAATCTGAAACTCATATCAATGGCATTAGTAAATATCAAAACTTTTTTCTGAACCAGATCCAGCTTCAGAAGAGCAAGAATATGAACTAACTTGTCACGATCGCCACATGAAACCTGAAAACGATATGAAAGAGTTGTAAAGCTCATCGATACCCTTGTTCAGCCATATATTACAAGGCTCAGATGATTGATATAGATAAGAAATGCTAAAAGTCCATAAGACAAACCATAGGAATCATAACCAGAAGTTTTGCTTTGACAGATTCTGATATCTACAAGATGACAGTGATGTCAATGCGATACCTGACAAGACAAGTGTGACTACATGTGCTCCACCATTACCCAGGTTTTGGACCTAAACTGACAAGTTTGGTGGCAAATGTGATATATATTAAGACAGGAAACGCAGAAGGTTTCTGCAACAGTGGCTGAATGCTGTGAGCTAAGGGTAGTTTAATAGGTGGAGAAAGCATTTAATATACGGGGAATTTTGGGGTTTATGCTGATGACAAGATGATTAAGGGCTGGTTATAATGAGAGCTGGAGGGAACTTGTTTGAATCTTAAAAAGCCCCTTCTTCCCCTCCCTCAATAAAACCTTGTGCGATGGTAGAATTCCATACTTGAATGGGGAGCGGTAGTTTATGCTTTGCTTTAAATTCATTACTAGAGGCAAGCCAGTGGCAGTGTGTATATTTTTTATTCTCTTTATATTCCAATCTTCTTTTAGCTGGTTCCCAAGGATTACAGAGGGATTTCAGTTTAAGGCCAATTATGTTATTGTCAGTCTCAAAGCCAAATATAATCAAAGATCCATCTGGAGCTGCCTAACGAGGAACAAAAATTCCAGCTGAAAGTTGTTTTATCTTATAGATGCTTTAGTCTCCCAAAAAATAAAATAAACAAGGGTGCAAAATAATTCACAAAAAACAACTCAAACGGAGCAATCACTTCTCATATCCTCCATAAAAGGCTATAGAATTCCTCACCCAAAATTGCTGAACATTTTTGGGGATAACTTCATCCTTAACACCTTCAACTTCTGGCAAGGTCAAAACATATGGATTATGCAGAATGAGCTTCTTCAGTTTGTCGACATCAGCACTGAAACAACAGATGCCAAAATAGCACGCATGAAATCTCTCAATCAAAGAGTGAGGAGCATAAAGACTTCATTTTATTAATATGAACTTCAATTGGGTAGCAAAAATGAAAGGAAGAAAGTTTCGAGACTTGCTAAAGTATAAATTGAAGGTAACGAACAAACAATAAGTAAAAGGAGGGAGAGAGAGTGCCATAATCAACACACCTTGATGTTGCAGACATAAGAAGGCATTGACAACGTCTTGGGACAAGAGCAGTAAGAGCTTTGAGATCTTCTTCATAGCCAAATGACAACAAGAGATCTGCCTGAAAAGAAATAGATATTAATGAATCATTCAAGGAAAGATATAGCAGATGTCTTTTTTAAGAAATAGATAACTTAGTATCTGAAGGTCCATCCATAAGAAGGTAGAAGAAACCGTAGAAATCTAAATTGCACACACATAGCAAATGTATTCGATCAATATCAATAGACATAACACTGTTATTTTCATCAAAATCTCATTATTTTAACTAATGCAATCTAGTTGAATTCAGACAATCTATTATAATCAGAAATCCCAACTTCCATCTATCATGAATGAATTACAATGATAAGCATCATCACAAACACCATGTTCTCACCTCATCAAGAACAAGAATTTCAAGTGAGTCATTAATAGATTCCGATTTTAGTACACCAACTGACAAGGACTTGGCTACACAAGAAGGAGTAGATACCAAAATATCAGGCGGTCCAGCCAAAGCGTTCCGCTGCAAGCAAGCAAGCTAGCAGTCAACCAATTATGCTGAATATCACTAAAAAATAAACATGCAACTTTTTAATTAACCAACCAAATCAGAAGCAGGCATGTTGCTGGTCAAATGAACAACTTTCAATTGAACTTTACAGGAATCAATCAGCGACGAAACCTCCTTATAAACCTGTTGACATAATTCTCCACTTGGCACCAGAATAAATGCTGAAGGTGAAAGCTTTTTTCGATTCGAATCAGCCGTACCGAGAAGCTTCTGAAGCAAAGGAAGCAAGTAGGCTAATGTCTTCCCTGACCCTGTTTTCGCCCGGGCAACCACGTCTTTCCCTTGCTAATGATATTCAAAACAATTAATTACAAAAATGAATAAATAGATAAATAGATAAAAGTTAAAAAGAAAAAGAAACTGACAAGTATTAGAGGAATAGCGACTCGCTGAATTGGAGTGGGCTCCATAATGCTAATTTCTTTCTTGTTTAGGGCTCGAATTAGCCTAGGGTCTAACCCTAACTCTTCAAAGGTCCGTGCTTCTTCGTCTTCTTCTTCTACTACATCCGGTTCCTCGTTTAATTGTATTTCTTGGTTGTCTTTGTTCTCTTTTTCCTTTTTCTCTTTAGTTTTACCGGCCTTCACCATTTTTAAGTTTACGCAGCCAGAGATAGAGGGAGGGAATATTAGGGTTTTTGAGGAGGAAGAAGAGGAGAAGGGTTTTAGACTTGTGGGTCGGGTTTTATTTAATTGAACTAAGACCCTTTTAAGGGTCCAATTTCATTCAAATATAGTGTTTTTGTTTTCTCGGTTTGACTTGTTATTTAAATTATGTTTTTTTTAAAACAATTTTAAATTATTTCTTATGTTATATTTTTAGAATAATTTTGATGTTTTGATTTTCAAAATAAAAATATAATTATTTTAATATATTTTCAACTAAAAAATAATATTATAAAGATATCATATATTATATTATATTATTAAATATATATGAAACAAGTTTTATTTTTGAAAAAAAAGTGTAGTTATTTTCCCAATCTAACCACAGTTTGATAATTTAAATTAGCCTTGTATTTTAAAAAATATTATTTAAAAAAATAAAAAAAATAACAGATTTTTACCAAATTTAACCTAAGTTATGAATTAATATAAGTTTTTAACCATATTACATTATATCAAATATCTTTTTTATTTTTTATAAAACCCGGACCAAGCATTACCATAAAATGACTGTTCCTAAATCAATTTATTTGGCCGGTTTAATAACTAGGTATAACTTCCAAGAATATATAAACGTGCACTCAAAGGTTTTTATTAGAAAAAAAAAAAAAAAAAAAAACCCGAATTTTAAACCGGGGGGGGG